GTCGTAGGCCTATGTTGTTTGTAATCTTGTAGGTGGTGAGTTTTAATTTATAGTTTCTTTATAACACACACATCATGTTACAGCGTTAATTTTCCCGAAATCTGACCATTCAGAGAATTTCCCTCTAAATTAAGACTTAACAATGGTTTTAATTTGATGATTCTAGAGTTTAATGAAGGATTATCGACTTCTCCTTAGTTTATTTCTCTCTCTTTTTTCATGTCTCGCCAATATAATTCTCAAAGACAGTTTGAATAATAGGTAGCTTATTATTTTTATTCCATTGCCTACAGAGGAAAATTTCTAAAAAGAATGTGAAATTGAAGTCTCTGCTTGGTTAATTAAAAAATGGATCGCCGTGCAGGTTTGTAGGACTTGCTGTGATTTGGTTTGGTCTCCCCCTGTGGTTAGAGATGAAATCAAATAAATCATCCGTGCAGGACTCACCTTTCCGCAGACCTCGCAGGTGAAAACTTTGGGCTTGCTGCCGGGACAGGAGCCGTTCAGTCTGGCCGCCGCCGCCGCAGAGCCCTTAAAGATCTTGTCGGTGAGGATCTGGTCCCGCTCCTTCATATAGTGCTGGATCTGGCTTTGAGACAGCTCCTTAAAGGCCTGCACGCCGGACACCGGGTACCGTTCCCCGGCCTGCTGTAGGCCCGGCTTGCTTTTCTCCGCCATGAAGGCTTTATGCCGGGCTGTGAGCAGGTACGAGGCCATTGGGTGCAGGTTGACCAGACCGGCCGGCGGGGGACACGCACCGCTTTCCCCGCTGCAGTTCAGGTAACACACGGTGCCCATGGTGGGGAAGGAGGACTGGTTCACCACCCGGGGTCTGAAGAGTTTGTACTGGCCGGCGGTTTGGCTCACAGCGGAGTCCTCCTGTTGGTTCTTGTAGTTTAACCCAACACCCATAAAGTCTGCAGGAGCGGCGAGAGAAGACGCGTCAAAGTGGCCCGGATCCAGCCCGATGTTGAGCCGGTGGCCCGGTTCGTACCCGAGTGGCACCAGCGGGATCATACAATGCAGCGAGGACGGACAGACGTCGGGTTTCCCCACGGGAGCGGACTGGAACCAGCTGGGGAGCTGTATCGACTTGGGCTCGGGCGTCCTGGCCATAATCCGGTCGATGGAGAAAGCGAGAGGCTTGCTGCTGCCACCGCCGGAGGTGAGCATGTCGGAACCCGCGGACTGGCTCCCAGAAGCCGGGGGGGAGCCGAGGATCCCCGCTGGGCGGCGGAGAGGACCGTCCATCACCTCCGCATCAACTGCGCCGCGACAACAACAACAAGAAGCTGCTGGAGCGAAGCCGGGGGTCGGTGTTACTCCTCACCGGCCCGCAGGAAAGGGCATCATCTGCCGGGGAACCCCCCCCTCAAAATCACCGGCCCGTTCCCCCTGCTTATTGACGACAATCAGGGCGGCCGCGGCTCGCTCGATGACGGCGTGCGGAGAGTCGAGACCTCGCCGATCGTTACCGTCCAGGAAGGGGAGCGGAAAAGTAGATAATTTGCTCAATTCTCCTCCGTCGATTCTGTGCACTTGTCGCCGCTGGAAGAGGAGGAGGAGGAAAGGAGGAGGTTGTCCCTTACTTGGCAGGACTCCTGCTCAACTGGAAGGTATTTGGTAAATCCCAGGTCCCCTTGTGGCTTCGCGTGACATCATTTTCCTTTTTTCTTTTTTCTTTTTTTTTTTTATCGCAACACGCTGGACTCGCAGCGGCCGCGAGGTCAGGAGCTGTCAGAGTTTTAGATCAGATTTGGAGCAGCTTTGGCTCCTGAAAGCCAGACCTTTTACGCACGGCTCAGAGAAGACACAGTGCTGTCATGTGGGTGAACGTGAGAAAGAAAACGGATCGAGATGTTGAAAAGAAAATGGACTTCAAGTCATTGATCTCAGCCTGGGTGTCTTTGAATCACAAACTTTTACTCAAGCGCTTTATTCCTTTTCTTTTACGCACTAGATTTTTAGATGCCAAAATCCACCCGCGGCAGAAACGACTCTTCTAGATAGTAACTAACCTGTGCGCTCTCCTGTAATCAGGTGCTGTATATTTTTTCTGACGCAAACGACTCTTTTATGCACAGAGAGACTGTAAAAAAAAAAAAAATCACCTTGCAGAAACGCAAATTCCGGAGGATGAATCAGTGAGAGTGACAGAGTCCAAACCGACAATAGCTTCAACCTGTCAGGACTGAAAGCAGAGAGTGAGTGGGTTTGATGCTGAATTTTCAAAGATTAAGGAGAGAAATAAAAGTGACCGCTGAAGGCCCGAGGAGCGACACACAGCAAAACACACAGTGTTTACTATGAAATACAGCAAAGAAGTATTAATAAGGTATTTGTTTGTGTTGGTGGATAGAGGCTGATGTTCTTTTAGTAGCCTATATTACGCAACAAAGATTTTAAAATGTTAATGGTTTGATTTGGTTTCTCTCAGGTAAAGAACAGCGTCTTTTTGTAAACTGCTACAAATAAAGATTATTATCAGTAAAGCATTTGACGGTCAGACAGTGAGTTAAAATTAATAATACTAACCTACTTTAAATACTGAATAGGCGCTGTGAAAGAAGTTAAATCCAAAGGAAGCTGCAAAGAGAAAAAGGCTTAATCTAAAAATAAAAATCTGAGCATTTACCAAACCTTTAAAAACAAAGTGTTGATTATTAAATGCAGATAAAACGACTTTTTAAATCGAATATGTAGTAATATTCACAAGCTAATAATAGTCCACACAAACTGAAACCTGAAGCCACCATGAACATGAACATTAAGCTGAAATGAATTTATAAATTCTTTATATTTTTAAGGAATGTGAGATTTGTAGATGTGACTTGGTATTGTTAAGGGATGTTGGTATTAGTGGGGCATATCAGGCCACAAACAACATGCTGCCATTATTAAATCGCACTACCATCCTACTGCTACTGTGTGATAATTGTGGTGTCATTGTATATTTGTGTGGAGAAGCCAAAGACAAATTTAAAGTGGACAATAAAGTCTAATAATAATAATAGCCTACTAAAAATATCAACATTATTATGTAGGCCTAATCATTACTACAAGTAGCATATTTATTGGCCGCTGTTAGTAATATTTTGTAAAACACCTACAGCCTCCCCTCCAGATAAAAGTGTTGCAGCTGCCTTTTTCATAGTATTCTGTTCATGTTTGTTAATTGGTTGCCTTTATTTCTGCTTTTTATGTTATGATTATTGTTTTATTTGTATCCATTGTTTTGGTATTTTGGCATTATATTTGTCACTGTTTTTGAAAAAAAGCCAGTCAATATTATTGACTGCTTACAACAAACTATAATGTAGTTATAAGCGAATATAAGCATGTATTAATATATTTTTAACATATAACGCCTCCTGTGGACACTAAGTGGACGCTGCTGTATGAACAGATAATGAATGACAATATAGTAAAACACAGTTGTAATAATCTAAGATATTTAATTGCTGCACATTAATAAACACTTAAAAATGTCATCATCAAATGTTTGCACTGATAAATGCTGAAGGACTTACAGTAAAGCTTAAGAATAATAAATAATAATTATATTTTACAACAAAGGGAAAATAGATCTACAGTATATAAAGGTGAAAGAATAGAATGAACCAATAGGGAGTATGTAAAGTACAAAGGTTTGTGACTATACCATATAGAATGAACTACACCAGACGTACGGTGTAAGCAAGTGCAGCTTTGACATGTCAGTGATGTGTGAACAGAAAATAAAAAAATGAGTGTGATGCTGTGTGCAGTCAAGTTAAGAAGCAAGTCACGTGTTCTGTGTTATAAAGCAAGTACACTCAAGTAAATATGAGGTACATGTAAAGTAGAAATGATTACCATTAGTCGTAGTAACAATAGTATCTGTAACAATTTCAGTTGTGTCAATACGCCCTGCTTCTTTGTCTACAGGCTAAAGCAGCATCATTCATTATTTGAACAGCTTTGTGTCAGTGATATTTATTTCCCGACTGATCTGATTTTATCCCCTTGAGAGCACATTGTTTGCTTATATATTAATATAAAGTTAAAAACCCCATTCAGATATTTGTGGATCCTTCTGTTTTATTTTTATTGACTTCTGAAATGAAAAAATTTCACAGCAGACTGAACATCAACTCAGGGGAAAGTGGTTCAGTCTTGCTGTTTATAATAAAGATGAAAAAGGAGTAAATCTGTTTAATAGTAACATCTTTCATTTTGAAATCACTTCATACTGTAGATTTGAATTTTATACTCATTTTCCTTTTATTTATTTGCTGTAAGGTATGTACATATTATTAAATAATAATTGCTTTTACATAATAGTAACATTATTAATAAGGTGTCCTTTTTTTGTGTTTTGTGTCTGTGTCAGCAGGAGGACTCAGACTCGTTTTTTGTTGCAGGAAAAAGGTTTGATGCTCATTTTAATGAGGAGAGAAAATAAACTGAAGCTGATGGATGACAGCCAGCAGAGAGTTTCCAAGGAATAGAAGCCCTTACAAACCTCCATAAACCTACAAGATTAAGCCGAAATAGAGAATAAGTAGTTTAAAGGACGAGCACTAATCCTTACAAACCAAAGGTCAAGCCCCGAATATTGTGATTTAAATGAGAAATGTTTTAAACCTCTGGTTGAATTTAAGAATTTAAGTGGCCAGACATCCAAGCTTGCAAACTGACGAGCCAAATTCAGTAAATAAAGTCATGTTGGGAGTCTACTGATTAACATACGAAACAGGGTTCCTATATTTCCTTAAACCCGACTTTTTTTGATAAGGTGGGTGTATATGCATGGTTTAACTAGCTTTAGGGGGAAGTAGGTATTTTTAGAAACAGCTAACTCCCCAAAGAGAAAAGGGAGTTATATTTTATAAAGATTCCCTATGAAATCAGAATCGTTATGTCCACTCGCTGTTTTGGTGGCTGAAGAAAAAAAAAAAAAAAAAACTTTTGACAAGTCTGACTTGTGAAAATAAAAACCCACAAGGTGAAAACACAGGTGCTTTAAAAACACTTTTTAATAGTGACACTTAGATAAGACACCTGAACAAAACAGGTGCACAGTAAGACAATATAAATATACATCTTAATATAGGTTTTTGTCCTTTAGTTTCTGTCCTTTGAACTGCACTGACACAAACTGGATTGGACAGTTAAAACAAACGGCAGGTTGTTGCACACAGTCGATCGGAGGGCCTACACTGAATTTACAGGTAAACTTTTTTTTCCCAACAACAACACCACACAAACAGACGGCAGCCAATGAATGAACAGCAGTGACGGGGCGCTTCGTCGACTCACAGCTGATCCGATTAAACCCATCAATCAGATTAAAAACAGATAGGACGGTCCCGTTAAAAAAAAAAAAATAGTCCAGAGTTTTCCAGTTCATTGGCACGTTTCTAAGACTTTGATCGATGTTGGATATGATGCACATCAGGCAGTACGACCATATCACTCTACAGCTCAACATAATTCTTCACAACAGTAACTATCACAATGAACAGATGACAGCAGATCTACAACTACATCAGCATGTAGTCGGTATTCTGAACAACTACTGCCCAATCTGACTCTGCGTTTTTGTATGGACCTGCGTTGATTTGTTTTACCTTTTCAAAGAACCCAGAAGCCTGTTTCAGGGCTATTTAAATTTTGCAGTGGACAACCAGAGTAGAAAAATTTTACCACCTGAGGCCACTGGTTGTTGTTTAACAGTGGGGACAGTTTGAGTTACAGAAGGTTCGGATTCAGAAACTACAGCAGCACAGCAACCTCTCATTAGCTTGGAGTTGTAAGAGTTCTACTACAAATGTGAGACACCAAACAAACATCAAACCTTAAGCTCTTCAGTACTTTTGGCAGGTTCTGCAAAACCCTGGATTACATTCTGCGATGAAGCATCTGAGCATTAAACGCTAATGTTTAATTGTTGCTTTTACTATATCTGTGCATTGCAAATGCTGTATGGTAATAATGGAAAGAACACTAGAAAGTGTGGTTATGGTTAAGGGTCAAGTTCAATAACATAAAACTTGAGTCTATTTCCATTTCAAAGATATTGGATTGTTGGAAACAAACCCCAAACTTACTTTGAATGGTAAATGAAGGTGGACAGTAATTTTTTTTATCAAGCACTTTAAACATCCACCATAGTTAACAGACCCACTTCCTGCTTCAACTTTGACCTACTGTACTAAACGTTGTTGTCTGCAATGACGTTTTCTTACCAACTTTTCAGGTGCACACACTTTTAGTTGTTTTGTGTTTAGTTGGTTTTGATAAACTGGCTAAATTGTTGGTTTATTTTTCAACCTGACTGATCTTCTAACTGCTCGTGTTTCTGGATCTTCTTTGACTTCTTTTTAGAGATGTCAACGTGATCCCAGATGTCAGCTTGGTGAGTACAGTGTTAATATTGCTGATAATTGATGTATAAAACTAAGAAGACCCAAACTGTAATAAAACCATAATTATCCTTTAAGATTTGGGAGAGTTTAAGCAACTGAAACACTTTTTAGGTAAAGATCGTGGTGGTGGTTAACAGGAGCTAACATAAATTTGTTCTGTGATGGGATGCAAATCAGTCACCAGCATAATAGCCGAATGTGCTACATACCCATTTACCATCCTAACCTTACTTTCTGCCTCAATACATAAAGACAGATCAGTGAAAAAACTTTGGCACTGGAAGTAAATTGTGTGTCGTGGATCTGTTTATAATGGGCAAAGGTTGGATTGCTATAATTTCAGCTATAGGGCCAAATAATGGTGACCTGTACGCCCAAAGCAAGATCATTTAAAAACTATGGGGCATAAAATGTATTGACATTCATGGTCCCGAGAGGATAACTCCTAACAACATCCTGAAGGTCAACTTTTCATTTACACAAGAAATGTCTAAAACTAATGAGCATAATTGCGTGAAATTTCCTGGGCACATTCTTGCTTCCCAAAAGAAGAAGAACTCTTTAGATTTTACGTATCCCACAACCGTTCTTGCAGGGCCACACTCAGGACAATGACATGGTGAAGCTCAAAGAACAGCTTATTCAGTAGCATATTGCGGTGGTCCTTGAGCAGTCCTTCGACCTCAACAACAAACCCTGCCTAATAAAATGACTCATATGAGTGTTTTCTGATCTGACACCTTTAAGGTTATGGTGAGCTTAAATTAAAGCTACTGGGTTAAGGTTAGAGAAAGACTGTGGTCATGGTTAACAGGGAGAAACATCAGATTGTTTGTCAACGTTTGTTTTGAAAAGTCAAAGATGTGAACAGCTGTCTCCTGTGTCATAGTCAGATGCTTAGTTGACCCAATAATCCATCCCAAGTTTTTGGGTGCTAGAACAATGTCACGCTACTTCTGCTTTTGCTTGTCATTATTTGCACAACTGCAAGAGGTCGCGTGTCAAGAAAATGTGAACATAGGCTGACTTACGTGTTTAAACAAACAACCAATGTTGTTGTTTAACTGGTGACAACTATTAATTATGTTTCAGCATTTAGTGGATGCTAGCAGGACTTTTGACTCAATAAAATAGGTTTATAAACAAAGCTAAAACCACAATAGTATAAAGTAACATTCAAAGATGTCAGTAAATAACGTTTTAATAGAACAGTCAAATAGAACCCTACAATTCCAAGCTTTCTGTCAAATAAAACAAATTTTGTTCAGCTGAGCTGGCTGCTGTTGCTGTCAAGAAAATGATGTCAATGGCGGCGAGGTTGGTCAGACTCTGTTTTGAACAATAAGCTACAACAAAACAGGAAGGAGCAGCACTGACAGCGACCGCAGAGCTCTACTATACAAAATGACATCAATTAGAGTATGGCTGCACGTCGAAAAGGGCGGGGCTTCCTGTCCTGCAGGTGAGAGAGGGAGGACGAGGTTTGTGTCAGCACCGTGTCCTTCAGATGCCTCGCCTCACCTTGACTTCCTGTTTGTCATACATTCTCACTCGTGTACATTTCAACACGCATGTACAGCAAAGTCCAGGATAACGAGCATGTGACAGGTTTGGTAAAAGGTGGGCGGTCGGGTGGGGAGGGGGTCACTACCTGAGCGTTTGCTCTTACCTGATCAGGACCTTCACTCAAGATGAATGATATGTAGCCTCTACTGCACATGTGCAACTGCACTCTGCATGCATAACATCATAGGAAGAGAAGAGCAACAAAGTGTGACATGGTTTAATCCTAAAATATTAAAGTTGAATGTTTTATCCCCCGAAAGATTTTCAATCGAGAAAATATTGTTTAGGCTCTAAAGCTTAAAAAGGTTTCACCTTTTCATCACACGGTAGGGAACCTGGAAAGTACTGAAAAACAGACTACAGCATTGTTCGTTTTTGGTATTTTCATGGGATTTGTTGACAATACAAATTATAGAACAAAACCAACCTTGTCCTTTAATTCGTTAAGATTATCTTGTTGAACAAACTGTACGTGTCTGAGTGGAGTTATCTTCATGGTTGGCCAAGAAAGCTACATAACTGCTGGACTACACTATATATATTTTTTCTATTATTTCTATTATTACTGTAATAAGTGACGCTAACAATAATTTGTAATATATATGTGTTTTATATCACACCTTTGTTCATCATGAACTAGCTGTATTTCTGTAGAAACAGCTGTCTGAATTAATATATTGCCTGTTAGCTAGCAAGATAATGTTAGCTATTAAGAAAATGTTAGCAAGCATACGTAATGTTAAATTCACAGTAACGGTGTTTGGACTTGTGTATCTTTATCACATTTTTTACCCCCTTTTAAAACAAAATCTACATTTTCATTCTTGAATGCCTGAATGAAGGTGATTTTAACAGAATGCGTTAACAACATGACTCGCTAGCTAACATTAGCACATCTTGGCTTGCTGTTTTTGCCCTTTTCTTATCATAAGATAGATTTACTGATTGTTTACTGTTGTAGTTTCAGTTGTAATCTCAGTTTTTGCATTTATTGAGAAAAAATAAGCAGAGTTCAGTAAAGAAAATGCATTCACAACTTGTTCTGTTGTTGATAACAGCGAAGCTATTTTGCCCAGGTAGGTATCCATTTCTGTTCTGTTCAATTATATTAGTCAACCGTTGCTCCAGCTTACATTTAGTTTCTATTTTGCGCTCACTGAGTCAAGAACATGTGTAGATTTTGTCCAGCAGCGATCTTTTTCTTGTCATTTTCAGCCATCTTTTTATAAAATTAAATTTGTTGGCTGTAGTTTCAGTTTATAGTGAGAACTGCTCAGTGAAGAGCTCAGTGGAGGACACATATCATTAACTGCGATGGAACGTCCTGATCTGTTAGAGAGGATGAAAATCAGTAGTAACAGGGTGTGTATAGGTATGATGAGTGTGTGTTTAATCGTCCTCCTCATCGCTGTCTCTCATGCTGATACCCTGCAGGCCGTCGCCCGCCTTCACTGCAGCTGAGGCTTCCTCCACTGTCAGTCGGTTGTAGATGGTCTCGTAGCTCTTGTTGTTCAGTGTGCCGTCCAGGACGCCCTGCAGCCTGAAGTCACGGTAGGTCTTCTGTTGAGGTGGGAGGGTGGAGGGGTGGAGATAGGTAAAAGGAGAAGGGAGGGAAAAACACAGAGCATCTTAGGAATGCAGTTAGCGAGAGGAGGCGTCTGCCGTCCGGACAAAAGCGCCAAGATTGAGGCTCAAGGACGAGTCTTTTATATATCGGACTGGGAAGGCAGACTGAGGCATCTGAGGGGTTTTTACATTCAGTCAGAAGCCATTATAATTGATGTCTCGCTGCTTTCCAGTTAAACTTGCACATGTCTGTACATTAGCAACCTATGAAAAGACAAAAGCAGTGAGCAGCAGCGCACAGTTGAGCAGTTTTGTCTTTCGTGTCTTGCCGCCTCTTCACAGCGCTGCTGCTGCTTTCAAGGACACTTCAGTATGGTTTGATTAATCTTTACTTTTTTCTTCTTTAACTACAATGTCAGTTCTGAGAGTTTTAACATGAATACATCACAACATTTTAAAATTCACTTTAGCCAGTCTCAGGCTCATTCACTGCCACTCTTTTCAAACAGCAAAGAAAAACAGACTTTGTATCTGGTCGGTAAAAGTAACCTGTCACCCAGAATGACGAAGAAGTCCTTATTTGGAAATGTGCATCTCAACAAGAAATTTAGTATCTCTCTCTTTTATATTTGCTCACCTTCACAATCTTGATCAGTGTTTTCAGCTGGTACATGTGAAGCTGCAGGTCCAGTCTGTCTGTCAGCCAAACACACACCGCTTTCGTGGAGCCGGTGTACCATTGCTGTGAGAAACAAAAACAAACAAAAAAGGATAGCCAAACTTTCACAAAACCAACTGTCTGACGGCTTGTGTTTCTTGACCCATTGGACTTCTTTTTAGGGATGTCACTCTGTAACCCATATCTAGACTTTTAATTTGGTGAGCACAATGTGGGAGAAGTGAAACCATTTACTGAGACTCTTTCATAAAAACTCTTTTGACTTTGTATTTGTAGAGAGAATTCACTTTAGAGGAACTGCAGCCTATCATACTTAAGCTTTGGTTTTGACACTCAGCTGTGGTAGCTCCTGATTGGAATTTACCACGAGACAAATAACTGATGATTATATGCTTTTCACAGTGAAACAAGTTAAACTAAAATTTTGACACTGTCTATTGAATCATATATATGTATGATTAAAAAGCTACTACAATCTAACCAATCCTGGACCACTCCCGAAATATAAATATCCAGTTTAGGTGAGGTCACTTTCTTTTCCTCTCACTCCACTCTGGCTGGTCATTGTGACGCTAGAAACAGCCCAGCGTTCAACATATTAATTTCTAAAATCCTCTACAGTCAACAATGAGTTGCGTCTGTTATATTACTTGTATTGTCACTAAACAGCTCCAGCTAGCATAGGGGTCGGTGTCCCCTGCTGGTGCGAATCCCACTAGCTTTGCAGTAAGAAGCAACGCAGAACCTCCATTACATTTATTCATTTAGCGGACGCTTTTATCCAAAGCGACTTACAATTGCTATCAGAGGTCGCCCGCCTCTGGAGCACCTGAATAAGTGATCCTATTATTTATTATTAAGTTGTGTAGCCTTGACTTAAAGGGGTCTTTAATTTAGACTTTTTTCAATGAAATTCTTGAGAACTTATAATGTTGTACAACAAAGAACTTAGAAATTATTACTTTTATAGGTCAGGTGTTTATATTGTCCTGTCAGGTGTTGCCTGAACCACCTAGATACCTTCAAAACTTGCTTTGATGGCGAGCTACCCATGAATCCTTGAAACCTGGATCTTCTTCTCTCCTTCCCACTTAGAAGCATTGTACGGTGGAGACAACTAAAAGAAGTGAAAAGGCCTATTTTGAAATTTAGTTCTTTTTTGTTAAATTAAAGCAATACAATATCTTATTTAAAGCATACATGAGTATCTTTGTCTGTGGTATTCTTAAACATTCACAGCTTTAAATTCGAATTTAGCTAGTGCCACTTGCTACATAAGGCTCTGTATAATTTTCTAGTGTGGAGAACATGACCTCAGACCACCGGAGCACATTCTTTACACACAAAATAAAAGCAGCTTCATTCATCCTCCTGAAAGCATCATCAAGCTGTTTTTAAAGCTGTTTCACACTGATAAGAACTGTAATTATCTTCCAATTTAACAGACAAAAACAGTCCAAAGGTTATTTCATGTACTTGACAAAAGGCAAAACATGTCCGTGATCATTCGGCAGTCATGCAAATATTTGATTCTGTCTATTGTGGGAGCGACCTCTGACCTCCCCTTACAGTGGCTCCTTGTAATTATGTCAAAGTACAATAATGCAGTTTTTCACCAAGTTTAAGTAGGTAAGTGTCAACTGAATGCAAGAAAATGTATGCTAACTTACAAATGGGGATTCAAATTTAATCACAGGTCCTGATTGTCCAGAGAATTGTTGCTCGTAGCACACGGTAGACAAAATGGCTACTTCTCTGGAGAGTTGATGTGCATCGACACTGGGGAAAAAGGACAGTGGTGTATCCTGACATTTTGATGCACCTCAAGATGCCACATTCGCCTTGTATTATTCGTGCAAAATTTCTCTAGGTAGCAACAAATGTGAGTGGAGAGTGGCTGTGTGTGTTTCAGTTCACAGTTTTAACACACTTAAACACTGCTGAATGACATGCATTATTCTGACTGTTGAGGACTCAGGAGGACAGTTTTAACCATAGTGTTGGTTTTTCCTCATCATCCTCCATCATTTCCTCTTCCTCTCACCTTCCACACTAAATATATTTAGGCTGGAATTCGAGTTGTATGCTAATATGCTCACTGACTATCGCCTCATGCTCCGAGTTAACAGATGCTCAAGGATGTTGAAATTACTGGATGATATTTGCTGCCCTTGTGATGATTTCTTCTGATTTCCTTCTTTCTCCTCCTCCCTTCCTTCACCCGCTCTGTGAAACACTGTTATTTGAGTCTCTGGGAGGTGAGTTCCCTCAGAGCGGCTAATCAGCTGTCTGACGGTCGCCTAGCGAGCAGCTTTAACTGTCGCGTAAATTGAGTACGAAGACGTTCCTTAATTGAGCTGATTAGAGGACGAGAGTGAAAACAGATGGAGAGAATATGTGGGGGAAGGAGGGTGGGCTGCACAGCACTGCATTAGTCCTGTCAGAAGCAAAATCTACATGATGAAAGGAGGGAGGTTCCCTCAATGTGTCACAGTAATGATGTAATTTAAACATTTGACACATATTCTCGTTTTGGCACAATTTTAAAAAAGAAATTGTTCAAATGATTTTAACAATCCTGTCCTAAAATCTCATTTTCTTAAATAAAAAATAAAAGCGAGATAAGATTATTTATTCTTGTGTTTTCATTTTTCCTTCATATAAGTATTTTGTCATTAAATCTTATTGTGGCTCGAGGTTTCGTCGTTGAGCTCCTAAAATTTGGTTTTCTCTAAAGGAGAATGAAATTATTTGTGTTTTCTTCACATGCATTTTCTTAATTCTATTTCTAAAATATTCCTAAATGTAAACAAAACCGCAACAGACAAAGTGGCATAATCCTAAACATTTCTTGTTTAAAAAAAAAAAAAAAGAAGTAATTCTTAAAGGCTGATTCTGAGATTAAATGACTTCTTGTTAAGAGATGCCCATTGCTTTTCTTTTTTTCTTTTAAAGCATGCAGGTTTGTCCTTGTCAGCTGCTTCATCAAGGTGATTTAGCTCCTAATGTGAAGAGGATGGAGCTGTGTGTGTGTGTGTGTGTGTGTGTGTGTGTGTGGGCATTTATTACACTCCTTATCCACACAAAGACGTTCCCCGGTGAGTACTTGTAGACAAATAGACGGACAGGCACATGTGAGCATGCACACGCTGAACAAAAATGATGAACGTGTTTGCAGCTGATGCCTCACATCTTCGCTCGCTTTAACACACACTTTCTTCTTCTTTTTATCTGTCGGTGTCGACAAACCTTCTGTTAAAAAAAAAAGGCGCCTTAAATGAATTTGACTCTGACTCGCTCAGACGCACGTAAATAAGACAATTGTATACCCATAATGCTCCTGGCAGGAGGCCTGATGCTGCTGTATGAACACAGGGTTTACTGTTTGTGTGTAACACAGTATGTTTGTGTGTGATACATGTTGAAGGGCTGAGCGGACACACTTTGAGGCCCCGCCATCACCTCCTCCTTGGCGCATGACTGGGCGCTTCTGAGCTCCATTAGACTCATTTTCCTCACCGCCACCCCCCCACACACACATACACACGTTACACACACACACACAGATCGGCAGAGCGCAGCTCGAGCCTCAGCCAATACGCCGAACCCTCAGAGGAGGCGGCGGGTGGCAGAAATCCATCGCTCGGCTTCGTGCTGCTAATGTGTACGAAGGTCTGAGCTGCCATGTCTGCAGCGTTGACTCACGGTGGCGAGCTGAGGCGTGTTTGGCAACTCAGCGCTAAAATATTCTTATAAATCTGAATCCTGGAGGGGGGTAGTCGGTGAAGAAAACGGAGAGCGTGGGATGGGTAGATGGATAGGTGGAGGTGTTTGCATCTCCTGCAGAGCGAACCGACAGCTTTCTGTCTTTCCTAAGTGATAAACAGGTCAACAGAAGCAGTCGGTGTTTTCAGCCTCAAAGCGACCTGCTGCTGCTCTGAAACTGGAGAATCAAACCTCATACCAACAGTATAAACACCTGACTGTGAGCTCAATTTGTATAGATTTTTATTAGCTGAGTGTGCTTTCATATAGGCATTTACTGTGTATCTTAAGAAAAGATCAGATACAATAAAACCCTATAGTCCAATTTCCATATTAAGTGTATTTCCAACCATTTTCAATTTGAGCGTACGTTTTTATGATTACTGTATGTGTCTAACACATTCCCTCTCCCACAGTTTTGTGCTTTCTCGTCTCTCTCTCTCTCTCCTTCTGTCGCTTTCTGCAGGTATTTCTGCCTCCGGAACTAGGGAGTCTGGATCTGTGGTTGCAAGCCATGCACCATATAAGGAAAATCTGCAATGTGCGATAACATTGTTCAATATTAAGAGAACGATATTTTTAAAAATTATATATATATGTTTACAAAAGCAAATTTACTATATAAACTCAACCAAAGTGTCAATATAATAGATCACATTCCTGACATGAAAATACTGAGTGAGGTTTACAAAGAATAAAGAATAACGTCAGTCAGTATCAATCTCCTGTCCGTCTTCTCCTCCTTTTAATCCTGTGATTCAGTACCTGCAGGTAACATTACCGCTGGTAGAGAGGGGAACGTCTGGTTTATCTCAGCCAGCAAATAAGTTTACAACAATGTGCCAAATTATGAGGTACGTGACAAACTAAGCTGAACAGTTTGACTACAGACAGCTTTCGTTTTAGCTAGTTTTTAGCAATTCGCTATTAGCAGAGCTAGCGCGCTGTGCTTGTGTAAAACAATTAAATAAAAATAAAAATTAATTAATAATAATTAACAAAATAAATATTTCTTGAAGTTATCTTCACTCCACCTGGTTCACTTCACTGTCTCCACCGCGGCCTCTCTGCTCTGCTTCATATTTATATTATTCCACTACCATTCTATTATTTTACATCTCTTTGTGGAACTTGCATTGTGCTCCACTGTGCTCTCTTTCCTCCGGCTCTCTCAGGGAGGTTTTGTCTGATGTGGCCGTGAACGCAGCTCGTAGGTGAACTTGCCAGGAGAATCGATTGTTGACCATTATGGTGTTTTTATGTTCTCAAACTCAGATCCACTCAGAGAATGGCCGGCTGACGGGAGGGACGTCACAACGATGTGTTGCTTTTTTGTCACAAAAAGCCCGGTTGTAAAGATTTCATAAGCAGGTCATGGCTTATGTGTCGTGTCATATTCTTACACTCTTGTTATGTATTTTTCATCTAAGGCTCACTGTGTCTACTTTTCTATGGACTGAGTTTAATATGTCTGAGACTTTCCATTTCTTATTTCAGACATGGCTTGCATTTTCTTGATCTACTTCTTGCTTTTCATGCCTCAGCAGCCAGCTGCAAGCCAGGTGAGGCAGCAGTGGCACCAAAAACGTGTCAAGTAGCGTCAACTGTACAACCTCATCTGACTGCCTACTCTTCGCCACACTACCTCAGGAGCCTCGCCAGATGCTTGCAAAAAGGCCATTATCAATGCTAATTTTCATATGCAAGGATATGCGACTCATTGCTGTTGTTTAAGGAGAAGATTTTCAGGACAATTAGAGAACTGGAAGCTTCCACTGAAGAGAGAAAACATAGCAGCAGATGAAAACATCTGATTTGAGACCGTAACCTACTTCAAATTAATGCATGAAACAAACATAGAAGCTATATTTTTTTTTATAATGTCTTCCATATTCTTTCAGTCACTTTCAGGTTCAACTGGTGTGTTTTTATAGACATCATCTCACTGTGTCCATCTCATCTACAGTGATTTCTTTAATACCCTATTTGAGAATTAGCTTGATAGAAATGACTGACTCAACTACAAAAATAAACCAGCACTCACATCAAACACCTTCTCGACGTATAGCTCGTCGTTGACGCGGTCTCGCAGGATGTCCTGGTTCTGCCGTACGAAGGTTATGTAGGTGTCGGCCAGATCCATCCCTGGTTTCTGCAGGAGAGAGGACACGGACACAGGCCTGATATATATATGATATGATAAATATACCAGATATGAAGGACGATGTCAGACAGTCACAGCAAGCAGTTTGTTGAGCCTGGTGTTGAAAATGAGAACATGGCTGGAATTCATGGTGCACATTTTACTTCATCCATGCTGTTCATAAACTAATACTCCACTACAGCAGGAAGCCAATCAGCAGAGAGCCTGCTGGCTGCACATGAAGACCTCTGCACACATACAGAACTTTTTAGTTCTGTATAGTTACAGTTTTTATTATAGTGAGATGAAACAGAACCCCAAATAATAATGTCAACAGGAAAAAACAAACAACAATGCATAGAAAGCTGAAGTCCTCCCATTAGCTTGGGCCTCTGTTCCACAAAGTTCTACAACTCTACACAGTCTCTCACTCTCAGGGTTTCTTTCATCCGTCTGCCATCTGCTATTCAAATTGTACTAATCTCCTGCTGTCTATATGTTGTGAATTAATTAACTACGTCTATACTGATGGATGAAGGCCCCCAATTTCACTGTGGGCACATAGAGCTACGTTGATTGTAGCAACAATGACATTTTCTTCCTTTATACATGGAGCCTACTTTAAAACTGTTTTTGTAAATGTCTCATGTTCCTCAGCATAGTGAAGAAGCGTTTGTCCTCCTGCTGCCGACGGGAAAGCGACGACAAGACAGATGCTTCAGCAAAACATTACACAGCGCTAAAGTCTCAATTCTGATGTGACTCTAAACTAATGAGACCATTAACTCTTTCAATGTACAATTTTCTTACTATATCTTAAAGAAATTTTTAGAAAAAATTGTGTTGCAACACACCATGGTCAGAATCAGTAGGAAAACCAGAAAACCTTAGCCATAAAGTTGCTCAGCCTGCGACACGACAAGAAAACACGCAAGTAATTTTGTTTCTGTTGAGAATTTTACTGTCATAAGTATTTGAAGGTCAATAAAGCAGATGCTCAGTGTGTTTTTGTAAAGTCTGTCCAGTTTGTTATGTTTTGCACACAGTATTGATCAAATTCTAAAAAGAACAAAACATGACTTCAGGGTCTTACTTTGGCTCTAGTGAACTGCAATAACAATTTTATCTCATTTTGTTTTGTTTCTTATTTACTTCTGCAGTTCAAGTTCATGTTTATGACCAATCCTTGTTCTAATTTTCATTTCAGCTGAAAAGAACCATTTCTCTAACAAGAATGTAAATTCTTTTGATGTCTGGTGTGTGTCTCAGTGGGGAATGTTTTTCTGAATCATTCCTTCACACTACAAATGACCATCAAAATGATTTTGTTCCTACAATTTACTCAATTGTTGTGCTGAATTCACATTTCCATCCCCTTAAATTCCTTAATTTATTCCCTCACATGAGTTGCGCTTTCACCTTCGCTGCACCAGTCGCCTCCACACTCTTGGACAATTTGGATTTACTAAAGTTTAATTTTGTTGCTGGAATGAGATATGTAGATGTACATCCTTTAGGTTTTAGCAACACAATGTTGAGATAATGTTGACATCCGTTAAACATTTAATGCTAAAAAGGATTGTTCTACCCAGTGCTTGAATTGGAATAAAAAGAAGCAAGTAATCTGAAACAGAATGTCTGAAAGAGTCCTAAAGCGTGCGTTTTTTCACTTGTACGATTCATCGCGTCTTCCAGCTCTCTATGACGGACTCTAGTAGCGCTGTAAATTACAGGTTGCAAATTACAAAATATGAATATTCAGCTCAGAATCAATAATGTCAGACGCCTAGCAGGCTCTGTAAATGTTTCAAGTGTGTTTTCGTTAAGGATAACACTGGTTTACACTCAACACAGGGAAGTGTTCAGCAACACCTGCAGCTTCCTGCAGGTGAAAAAAATAAAAATAATAATCTACTGTGTAGGGAGTAACAAGAGGCTGCTGGAGCTGTTACACTGGAGGAAACAATAACTGCTGTGGAAGCAGCAGTCTGTTCGCCGTGGAGAGGCCAGAGGCAAGAGAAGTGGGTAAAACACTGTTCATTCACACTCCCTGTTGTCAAGGGAGATTACAACTGTAATGCTTATTGTAATTGCTTTGACATCTTTCACACCCGTTTTCTCTGAGCCGGCATGCGTCCGCCCCGAGGGGGTTGTTGTTCTGCTACAGCGCTGCTGAGCATGGCACGTCAGGTCCCCCGTGGAAAAACAAGGAAATGGAGCCTCAAGAAACCCAGAAACCTTTTGGCTTCACTTAAAGGCAAAAGGAAGGTTAGAGATTTGGGATTGTAACCTTTTGCTTATCAAATGCAACACAGGAGAAACACAAAATGTCACATGGTAAAAAAAAAATAAAAGGATCTTGACAGTCAACGCCATCACCTAATGTCAGCTCCGTCACAAACCGCATCAGGTGCCTAAATTTGGGTTTGTGATCTGACAAGCAAAGAACCAGCTACGTAGTTCACACACAGCTGATCTCTATACCTTTTCACCACGACAGATGTGACATCTTGTGATGTAGATGACTGATGGACAGTCTGCGCTTCTTACACCTCATCTTTGTAACATAGGTGCAAATAAATAAATCTGAACTGTTATCTAAGCATAAAGCTCAAATTTTACTTTTCACTTTCCCATAGTTGTGAATGTCTACTTGACATAAATATAGTCATTTGCCAATGTCTGCAACAGTCCATGCAGTTGGTGCATACTTCCATCTGTGAAAATGTCCACCCACACAAACACCCAGTGTGGTAGAGCTGAAATAATGAGTCGTGTCACCAATTAATTGACAGGCAGAAAATTAATCGGCAACGATTTTGATCAATTAATTGTCATTTTTCAAGTGAAAACCAATCTGTGGTTGCATCTTCTCCAATGTGAGGCGTTCCCGCTTTCCCGTTTCCGCACTCATAGTAACATATACTGTAACAGAAAATAGTGTACTCTCTCTGATAGTTGTAAGTAAAATGTTTTCTGATAAAAAAAAACTGTCACAGCAGATGTTTCAGATGCCTCGAACAGCGAGTGACAGACTGATATCAGTCAGAGATGCTGTGATTCACACAGACCGCAGGACAGATAGCAGGGGTTAAGGGGGGTCAGCATATGTGTGTGTGTGTGTAGGAAGAGTAGGGGTGGTATGAGCGTCATGTTCAACCAGAAAGAGGAGGGTCAGACCAGTGACTGACAGGCCTGTCAGTCTCACCATAATCCTCTGGAGTGAGTGGAGAGATGAGAGTCTGGCAGATCGAGGATCATTGTTGAATGACGATTAGAAATGTTGACTGAATGAACCATGTGTGTCTTACTGGGTGTGTTAGAGTACTTGTCTCTGATCTGTTCCAGCAGACACGTCCAGGTCATGTCAATGTTTTTGCAGCTACATTTCAAAACTGTATAAGCATGTCAGAAGATTTCCATCTAGACTCAAACAACAGAAATGACGTCTGTAGCGGGATGTTGATCTCACATCAAGATCGTCAACATCATTACTGAGTGACGAGTCTGGAAAATCTGAGAGACCGGTGTTATTTTTTTTTGACAAAAAGACTTGAGTCTATTCCTCTGGATACCCGTTTGCTGATTCAGGAGTGCTCTTAATCAAACAATCCACCAGTGGAACAAGCCCATGTGACCTACTGGCCACAACTCCAAGCAAGCCTTTCCAATGACAGCATTGTGATTGTAGTGATTGAGCAGGCTACACATGCACATAGGACTACCGCTACACCAGGGATGTCATCGTCCATCCTGATGTTTCATTGTAGACATCGTCTGGTGAAAATTTTATAGACATCTCTCAACCCTGCAATGGAGGCTTTAAACATGCACCACTGATTCTGTTCCCCGACTTTATCAACATGTTTCCAACTTTGCTGATGAAATTCCTCTGGGAATATAAGACCTCGTAGGACCTGGATTTACTCGATTTGTCCACCAGCCTCACCAAGCACCATATTCAACTCATCACCAGCTGGTGGTCAGTCGACATATAGCTGCAGGTATGATAATACAAATCAATTATCTTTGGTTTAATTTGCTTTGGAACCAGGTAAACGTACGAACACCTCCAGGACCCCACCCGAGAGTCCAAAAGATTGGCATTAATGCTACATTCTCATTTTCAGGGGGAAACTATCACTGCAGAGCTCTGTCAGAGGCTAGTGATTATCTTCTTTCAATAAGTTTGGTTCCAAAACTGGAACCGTGTATAGGGGTTACAGATATATAGAGCTCCTTTCGATCAGCACGCACAGACCCCCGCATCAGGTAACCTGCTTCGGTATTTGGTGGGCCCACATGGCATGTTACAGTGCTGTAATGTATGCTGCCTTGGACTATAATTCCTGACCCTCTTTGTATTCAAGCTACCAAGGCATAAAAATAGATGGCTGCTGTTTGTTTGGCTGAGCCTTTGGCTGAGGCTGCTTTTACTGCTTTGGGCCACTTAGTTCTAATAAAGGTGAAATCTTAATGCTTCCAGTTTGCTTTCAACTTTGTGGCAACATTTTGTGCTCTGACCTCAACACCACCTAACACCTTCAGGTTGACCAGATCTTATCAACCAACATCAGCGTTAGCCCTGGCTAGCAGCACAGTGCCTCAGAGGTTAGTACAGTATCCTCACAGAGCAGAGTTCGAATCCCAGCTGTGGCAGATCCTTTCTTGTGGAGTTTGCACGTTTTCCCGACGAGGAGGCTACAACCCATGGGCTCTGGCGTTGGCCGCAAGTACACCTCTTAAGGTGTAGGGGAGTGAGGTTTACTCACTGCACCGCCGCGCTGGCTTCCGTCACACTCGCCCCCCTAAACCTCACTCCCATCCGGGTCACGGCAGCAATGTAACCGGCTGCTCCCGCGAAACGCACCGCACGGTCCTTACTTTAACCGGCGACTTTGGCCATTGGAGGTGGACACGCCGACAAGGAGGCTGAAACCCATGGGCTCTGCAGTCGGTCGCCAGTGCGTCTCTTATGGTGTCGAGGAGTGAGGTTTACTCGCTGCACC